ATTAAAACTCAGTTAGCCAACCACGACTCGTAAATCATGATCATAATTGCACGATAACATCGATATTGGATCATGCGGCACATGTCAGCCAATCATATGCTCCGACAAAACAAATTTCATGATATTAATCGTTGCATGAGCAATATCTTATACATACACAGCGAATTTTCAACACTGTTGCATGATACTGTATATCTGGTGATTTGATTGGTTTTTATATGCCGAACCGATGCGTATAGAGTAATATGTGTCGGGGATGATGCTGAAATTTGGGGTCTTAATTTGAAAATATAAATCCACCTATGCTCTTTTATTATTTACATTTTCATAACGATAATAAAATAAGTCAAAATTTCAGCATCATCCGATTTCAGTATTCACACCTGATTGGTTAATCCGTTAGCAAGACTTACTATACCAAAATCCCTGATAATCATAAATTTGTTTATATAGCATTAAATCAATTTTAATGCATATTATAGTCAATAGCATCTTTTGTTTTACAAGAATATCGCAATAGCAATTGTAATGCGCCCTTACATTTGTGGAAAAATGCTTTTGTCCTAAAGTGCCCTTAATACTTTTTCGAATTACCGAATCATTACATTCCGTTACACCACAGAACGGTCTGCGTGATTGTGCACACGTGATTCTTTAGAGATACTTAATGTGGTAATTTCGTGAGTTAATATTTTTTTTTTTTATGAAATCAATTTTATTAGATATATAGAAACCATTCGTTGGCCAATCATTTTTGTACTCCTTGGTGCTGTCATAAGGAAATTTTTTTTAAGTGGTGAAACTATAACATTATTATACGTAACAATGTTCTATTTGTCAATGCTATATTTGTTATATAACATTTATAAATTTTATATAAATGAATAAAAGCTCATATCGCTATATGTATTATATGTCATAATCAAATTGTTGCTTAGATGTCGAAGGGAAATATGCAAGTGTTACCTTTTGTAAGGGAGGTATACTTCAAAAACAATATATATTGTGTTTTTTTTTTTTTAATTTATTAATTAATCAAGCCTCTCGGGAAATTCTGTTTTAACCCGTGCTCAAGTCATCCAAACTATACTATTAACTTTTTCTTGGATGACTTTAACCCGGATTTCTCATGAAATATTAATAGAAAAAGAACCAAAGAATGATATTTTGGTCTTTAATTCAAATTATCCGATGATTATACATGCTTTATGAACTGTTTATATACCAAATGTGGTTAGTGATTCCGATCAGATAACATTACATTAGAAGCTCCCTCCTTGCATACTATACATAATTAACATAAATTGCATAGAATAAAGAACATCTAAAGTTCTTAAATTTCTTAAATCTGATGTAAGGATAAGTAAATAATTAATCAATTTACCATTTCCTATTTAAGGCCCATAAAAAGACATTCTTTACCACTCTTTACTGGTGTGTCGTTTAAAACACGGCATTAAGCAGGGAGTACATATTTATGCGTAAAGATGCAGCAAATCGCAAGCTAGGCTAAAATAAACAACCTTGGTTCTTATTTATATATGATGCATGAGTTGTTTTTCCTAAGGATCCTTACAGTTTGATAACCTTGTTTTGTATATAATATAACCATGATTCTTAATGGTTCAATAACGCATAACTAAAATGGTTTTGCATGCGTAAGCAAACCCTGAGACTCGATAAGCTATATTTACTGTTGCCCGGTGAAATGAGAATAATGAAAAATTTTATCTTTGAATGTGCAGTAAAGTTATTTATGTTGATGTTGTAAGAAATCATCGGGTTTATTTCTGTCAGCAAACATAACATTCAACGTTCTACATATAATTCATATGCTATTTAATAGAAATATTAAGTTATATATTTTTATGCTAGATTTACCATGAAACCAATAATGAATTCAATGTATAAGCTTGTGACACGAAAAGCAAGCAAAAAATAAAATACCTAAATATTGGCGCGTCAAAGTAATTGGTCATATTTATTATGAAACGCATATAGATAAAGTTCTTTTTCCGATATAAACGCGCGATGAAAGACTAAAATATCAATCCATAATTTCCCAAGAATTTTGTTTCAAGATCTTTGTATAGCTATCTTTATTAATCCTTTAAGAAGAACCATTCATTTTCACGCAATTTCCTTTCCTTTGAATAATTTAAATACGCGTACTGAAAGATGGTTTTTCGTGGATTTTTACACACCACTATTTTTAAAATTGCAAAAGTGATGACGAAAAAAAAGATAGCATATGGTAAGATTTTTTAACTATTATTAAAAAACAATTTTTATTTTTGTATATGTATGATTGATTGTTAATCTTGATCAGGAGAAGAAGGTGTTGAAGATCTAATGAAACAAACATCGGACACATGCAACGAATGCAAAAAACCTAAAGAAGGCAAGAAATGGTGTTCGACATGTCTTTTTCCTAATAATTGGACTAGTGGGAATCGGGAAATAGACACATTTATTCGCGAGTCTCAAATGCTTTCTACCACATTACATCACTGTTTATTATGGATTCCCTTTGATCAATTCTCTGAAATTAAAGAGGTAGCACGTGGAGGTTTTAATACAGTATGTTCTGCTACGTGGGACGGAAATAGAATCGATCTTTTATATACGATCGAAAATTCTCCAGTATGGGTTCACAGGAATTGTACCACAAAGGTCGCACTCAAACATCTCAAAAATTCTCAAAATATTGATTCATCTGTGTTGAATAAGGTAAATTTATTACAAACATGATTTGGGCTTGTTTTTTTTCGTTTCGTATTCGAGTAAAATGTAGTGATATGAATCGAAAATCGATTAATCGTTTAGTTGGCTAAGTTGACAACTAATCGATTAATTGATTAACTATTAATCGTTTAGTTGGCTGAGTTGACAACTAATCGATTAATTGATTAACTATTAACCGATTAATCGATTAATTAGTTATTTAAATTATTTTAAATTAAAATTATATTAAAAAAATAAATTAATAAATTAATCGACTAACCAACTAATTGTTTAATCGATTAGTTAACAATAATCGATTTTTAATCAATTTTTTAAAAAATATTCAACCAACTAATCAATTACATTTTTTTTCTCCGATTCATAACACTAGTAAAATGTTTAACTCGATTTTATTGACTTTTCTTTTTTTTTCGAAAAGCTTCTCAATTATAGAACATATGATGATTTTTCCATTCCTAAATGTTACGGATTATCTCAACATCCCTCAACAAAGGAATATATTCTTGTTTTTAATTACTATGAACAAGGAGATCTACGAGCTCTGTTAGCCGACAGGTACACGGATATGAAGTTACGCGATAAATTGCTAATTCTTTCCGATATAATTTCAGAATTGAACTCAATCCATAAAAGAAAGTTGGTTCACAAGAACTTTCATCCAGGGAATATATTAATTGCTAAATCTTCTTGGATCGATGGATCTTTAAATATTAATGGATTAGCAATATCAGATCTTGGATTAAATGCACCGGTGAACGAACCACTGCATTCTAAAGAAATATATGGTGTGATACCATTTGTTGCTCCTGAAATTTTTCAGGCACTTCCTTATACTGCAGCGGCAGATATTTATAGTTTTGGCATGATAATGTGGATGTTATCTTCCGGAAAACTACCGTTTGGTGATCGGCCACACGATCATAGGTTGGTTAGTGATATATGTGATGGTGTACGTCCACCAATTGTTTCTGGATTGCCAGAATGGTATTGTGATTTGATGAAAAGATGTTGGGATACTGATCCCTTTAACCGTCCATCTGCACAAGAAATTCATGAAATAATATTTGATCGAAGAGGTGATCTTTGGGCTTATTATTCGGAACATCTTAGTGCACTTAAACCTACCAACATTGAGATCACAAAGAGATCAAGAAACTCGCATTATGAAATACTCACAAATACTCACCCTGACGCGGTTTATTATAGTCGTCCTATAAGTAAATTTACTAGTCAGGGTAGTATTTATCCTCCGTTAAAAGGTTTGATATTCAATTAATACATTTAATATAAAAAAAAACTTTTTTTTTAATGTTTCTTTTAGGCTAACCTGCCCTTATAAATTCTTTAATTCACAGCAAGCGTGAATAATAAAAATAATAAAAATAAAAAAAATTCAATACATGAACAATCATTCGCATCATCCGCAGAATTAAACATGGATATGTCGATTACAATGAGTGGTAAAAATTAACTTTATATAATAAATCCGATAGATTTCGTGACACGAAAATAATTGTTGTTCTATCAAATTTATAGACATCAACAAAATGATGAGAAGCATTCCCGCATAATATATATATATTTAATAATGGACAATTTTCCCACTTCATGTTTAATTAGAAATTAAATACATATAAATTACTTAGCGATTTATACATATTTTAACTCATTAGATATAATAAGTGTATAAACAATGTATTTATCATATTCATCTTTGTTAGCATTAATTATATTGTTAATTATTAATATTTCATGGATTTTTATATATCATAATCTCGGAATATTATTATTAAAGCTGAAACAACATTTACTATCATCAGTTAACCAATTTTTTATTATCGTTACATTCAAGACTTTTAGTTGTATGTCGGTATACTGACTTATAAAATATAATTTACAGAACTACCGTATTCTATCGTAAATAAGTACCATTATTTCTACCCCATTTTTTAAATGCTGGGATAGCAGGATATGCTTATTTGCGATAGAACACGGTAATAAAAGTCTAATTGATATAAATATTGTTTGAATAAACTCCTATGATCAAATATAATATGAGTGCCGCCAAGGGAAAACCCGCAAATCTTATTTAATAAGATTTGCGGGTTTTCCTTTGGCTACACTCATATAGAGGACCATACTATATATCAATCAGTTGATGGGGTTCCCTATACTATATAATATTCTAATTTTAATTTATTGCAAAATATTACACATATATTACTACTGTACAGCGTGGACTAAAAGACCCCTTTTATAATACCCCTCACGATTTTCGGAGGCCTAGAACGTAAAGTACCCCGGGTACTAAGGACGGATTAATTGCACTTGGGAATGTAAAATACCCGGGTACTAAAGATGGATTAATTGCACTTAGTATATAAAATATTACTGCAGCACTCATATAGTGCAACTTATACCCCCCACACTGACCATAGTATCTCTCCGACTATAATTCCAGTATATACAGCTTAAATTGTAAAGTACCCTGGGTATTTTAGTCCACGCTGTACGGTAATTATTACCTTTGACGAATGAATTCTGATCTAATTTTGATTTATTATAAATACATAATGTAAAAAAAAGGGTTTATGAAGCCAAGCATTTCGCGAGATTACCTATTAATTACCTGTTAGGCCACACCAATTTAAAACTATGTTTAACATAAGCTCCCCTCTTTGAGCCTCAGATATAAGGGGTAATTAACACCATTTAATATAAAAATCATATTAACTGTTAAAAAATTTTTTTTTTAGCCAATCAAAATCTCATGTTTTTTACCCCCCCTCCTGTTTTCATTTTATTAATGTTATGTTAAATCTAGAATCAAATTGGAATGGCCTTACCTTTAACCAATCAAAATTGTGAAAATTTGATCAGTCTGAAATCATAAGTGATTAAATTCGATTGTCTCAAACTGAGATATACTTGAGGTTTTGTTCTTTTTATTGCAAAGTTCTATATATATATATATATTTAAGGTATGCTGTGCATTTTATTTACTACATAATTAATATTGTTTAATTAGTAATTTGTTATTAGTAGGGTTGTTACCTAATAAGCTGATAAAACTATTGTTCAATGACAAAATAGTTTTTCAATGGTTTTATCAGATTGATAAAACTACTAATAATTGCTGAAACTATTGACGATTAAATCAATTTGGCTAATATCACTTTTTAAAAAGCTTCTTTATAATGACATCTGGTATTTTGAATCTTAAAAATACTGTTATTTTATCATTATAAAGATTCATCAGTTCATATAAAAACAGTAATTTTTTAATTGCAATGAATTTTTTTTTTTAATAATTTGTTGGTTCGTTATAAAATGTTCATAAAAATTAACAAATACATGCAAATTAATTTTTAGCTTTACAATATTAAATCTGAAGCCAATAATTTTTTCTTCTACAGATTGGACCTAGGCCAGAATTATTTTAATGCTGGCTGAACTAAACGATTAATACGTTAAATGGTTAAACGATTCGAAAGATCATAGGCGGTTTCGATCCCTACTTAAAATAGTCAAGTTAATAAAGGCATATTTGTTTGCCTGTAATGATATTAAAAATTCATAATTCTAATCGGCATGTGACATTCACCCAATATTTGTGTAACATTCACCATATTTGAGATTAAAAACGCGCAATATTTAATTCTTTTTTTTCATATAAGTTATCAGCGATTTAAAAACTTTCTATTTCAGAATTTACTAGGAATATTAATCTATAAACGGTTAAAGAAAATTTCTTTTGTATTTTTTTGTCGTATGATATTCTTTATAAGCTATTAATATTTTATTGTTTTTTCACGTGGGAACCTCGGAGAGGTATGCGCGGAAACTTCTGAAAGTACGCGCGAGAAACTTCTTCAGCCATTTAGTTTAAGTTAAGAGATTATTAGATTTTACGGAAATAAATTATTGGTTAGAAAATGCACATAGTCACAACTAATTAGAAGTAGAAATTCATTGCTTTTTTTTTGGCAATTTTAATTATGTGTGGGTTTCTGGATACGTGACCTGCCCGTGGTGAAACCTGCGTGCTTGATTTTATCAAGTATCTGACGACGTATCAGAAGAATGATCTTAAATTTTTTCATGAATTTTGCAACATGCTATTTGCCATCAACAATAACACCTAACTTATGACAATCATCTTCATCAGAATCTTCTTCAACAGATTCACTCAGGTTCTTTCAAAGCCATTGGTATTTTCTCGAAATCAGTTAAGTAAACAAGACTTTCGAAGTCTTTCCATAAATTTTTATAAAGAAATTTCACCTCTTCACTCAATTCTTCCTCAATGAATTATCCATCAGTCTCTTCAATTTCATCATCTTCGTGTTCTAACTTTTCAAAAAAGTCGTTCATCATCTTCCACGTCATCAAGTTTTTGCGGTTTCAAATTGGAATACTTGCGAGTGTCAGTGTTGAAAATGGGAAATTCGGCAAGTTTACCTTTATACCTAATGATGAGTTTTTGTTTTTCAAAATGTATCCTTATTCATAAAATATAAATAGCTACTATTTGTATATTTTTAAATTTTGTAAATTATAAAATACGAGACAGCATCATTGGATGAAGAGATTAATCTTTCCGTTCGAAGCATCATCGGATATGCAATCGCGAATCAAACTATACGGTATTTAATAAGATCAAAAAAGAGTGTCCAAGATCATTGTCATTAAAAGCAGAATTGATTCCTTTCAACACTGCATCGATATTGTCTATATTTTCTGTATAACTTCTATTACTTCTATTGACTAGAGTTTGAAACCGGGTTTATTTTTCATATGTTTTAATTGGTTTTAACATATGAAAATAAACCGGATTCCAAATTCTACTATTGACTTAGTTATCTCTTGCACCGTAAGGTATTCGCAAGCAAAATTGCCTGGGCGCAGGTATTCAATAATTTTAGCTAAAAGTCATGTTCTTATCATAATCTAACGAGCCGTAATTACATTGCTAATATAATATGCATCAAA